CCCCAAAACCCCAAAACCCCAAAACGGAAGATTATATGTGTAGTATGACATAAATTAAGATTTTATTATTAATATAATAACAATATCTCAATAATAATTATTAAATGTAATTTATGGAAGATTCTGATAATCCTGACTCTCAAAATAGCTATATTACAATCGTAATTATCATACTGGGGATCATTTACACTCTATTATTCTTTTTCGCGCTCTTCAGGTAAGATTCAAGACCACTTTGCTCAATATCAAGTAATATCTTTTAGATCTTGGAAAATAAGAACTGATTAAGTTTACATTCGGGTGTTTTACTTTTTTGTCTGTATCCAAATTTGCCTCAACGCTATGCTTTTCTGGGTTATGTTAATTGTAAAGTTCTATGATAATACTGCGTAAGTAGAATTGATATTAAAGTAATCTTATAGTGCTCTACTTTCTCTAATACCAGGTATTATTATGATAGTGACCTACTACATGATGTTTGTATTACTATTTAAATCTATCTTGGAATCTAGAGTAGCAAAATCGAATTCATTTAAAAGAAGCAGTAATCAATATTTTCAATCCTAAATGATTTTATTAGATTAGTATAGCCTCAATAAGTTTATGGTTGGACTATCCTCATTGATAATCGTAGTAGTTGTAATTCTGAACATTGTATATGTGATCCTCTCTTGCACTATCAAGGATACTTATGAGTAATTCTTCACTATTTATCAAAGCTCTTGGCTTGTTCTAATTGTTTGGTTCATATTGTCTTCTACTGTAGTTTATATTAAGTAATCAGGAACACCTTATAAATCAGATTAGCATAGACTTAACCTAAGATATATTGCTCTTGTGTTTGGCTTTTGGACTTTGGCTTTCTTGATTAAAGTTATATTTGCCATGATAGGAGATAAGTCTATTGATGCTACCTCTGATATTACTATGATGCAGGCCATATTTCTCATAGTAGTTAATGTAGTTTGCGATGTACTCCCTTATTTTTCTGTCTTAGAAATTAAATTCTTGGAATTATTTAGAAGGGTAAGATAAGTTAAAAAAGAAAAATCACCATTACTAGGAAATAGATCTCCTATAACTAATTAAGATCGTCAAGCTGCGTTAAATGCTATTTTTGAATATAAAGAATCAAAAGAAAGCATTGGTGGGTTAAATACTTCAGGTGAAAAGACAAATTCTATTAGAGAATAGGGATTTATAAACAACTTAAATGAAAGTTATTAGCTCTAAAAATCTCAAGCTCAAGATTTCTGTCTTATTAATGAGAAGTTGCTGAATTAGCATATTCATATTAGGCAAATATCAGTTCAAAATAATGATAAGTCCCTTATTTAGTAAAAACTTGAACTTAAGTCCAAGAATTTTTAGACTCTAGAGCTGTTTAACAAAACTTGGTATTCATCTTAGAAGGATAAAAAGAATAAATTGGGAGTTTTTTATAAGGCATCTCTCTATTAAGAGATTGTGCTCTGTAGACAAGTAAATTTTGACAGAATGACAAATTACATACTAGAAGACTACTTTATAGAGTTATGCATTCTAGATTAGATTAAAATTAGATCAAGTTTAGTTCCTGTACTTGGATACTATATCAAAGATTAGAGCTTAATGATATTTTAACCTGAGATGCTTTCTTTATTTGAACTGTTACACAGTAAGGATAAAGAAGATCTGAGAAGGCAACTAGATGCCAAGGAAAAGTATAACATTAGTTTTGAGATTTCTAAGATCTTGTATACTTTGCATTAATTTAACCCACCCTTTTGCCATGGACATATAAGCTCTCACAACATATTTTTAGAGCTTAAAGCCAATAATTCTATTAAAAATTGTAGAGTCAAATTAGGAGATTTAGAGCTCATGCCTCTGCTTAAGTATGCGAATACTTTCTATAAGTATTCCAATTCCAGTGTTTGGTCAGCTCCTGAATGTCTTTAGAATCCCAAAAAGTATGTAGAACCTACAAGACATATGGATGTCTACTCGTTCGGTATGTTATTATGGGAACTCTGGCATGAAACTATTCCATTCGATAATGATTTAAAGTTATGTCAGCAATATGTAGTCTAAGAGGATTCAAGACCTATGATTCAAATGATCGATAAATATGATAAGTAGCCACTATAGACTGATTAAAAGTATTGTGATGAATAAATTGCCAAGGTCATCAGACTTTGCTGGCAATCAAACCCTGAAAACAGACCAAATATCAACTTTCTTTGCGACCAGATCTCAAGATATCAATCTCCTTAATCTTGAACTCATTAATCATTAATGAATTAACTATAATTCGAGGAATACCAATTTCTCAAATTGATGCATAAAGCAACATAATCATTTAATAGTTTGATTTTTAATCTTAATTTCTTTTATAAATCTATTAATTATGCATAAAGGGGTTTTGGGGTTTTGGGG